ATAGGATTTAAAAAAATTACTAGAGGGGCTTGGGGGTGGGGGGAGGGGACAGTTCTTATTTATTCATCTATTCATATGATTTAGTATCTCTTATGTGTTTTTCCTGGAGAGAGAACAGACATGGCAATTACAGTGTGAGTTTGTGGGATACTTCTGCTACCACTTTCCATTCAGGAAATGTATTTTTATTTGAAATCCATGTGAAAAAGCGGGATGTCGCATTACTAGTGCAATACCAAAATCACAGCCTACAGCTGCACAGTTTTTTCTATCACACACTGATTTATATGGGTGTTCAGGAGATTATGGAAGGTTACATTTACCCTGGGGAACACCGACAGCAATAAAAACTTCACATGAGGTTCTTACTCTTCTCTGTACTATAAAAACGTTTTGGCTGGGTTTAGGCTTGAAAGTGCAACACAACCATGGTAGGAGCCTGTGTGATGGGCTTTTGTTTGTGTCAGATAGGGTTTGCATTGTCATTCAGACAACACATGCCCAAAGCCCATCGACAAAAGCCCACTGACACAAGCCCAAAGCCTATTGGCCAAAGCCCATTGACACAAGCCCAAAGCCTATTGACACAGGCCCAAAGTCCATTGATACAAGCCTAAAGCCCATTGACACAGGCTAAAAGCCCATTAACACAAGCCTAAAGCGCAACGACATAGGCCCAAAGCCCATCAACACTAGCCGAAAGCCCACTGATAGTCCAATGACACAAGCCCAAAGCCCATTGACACAGGCCCAAAGTTCATTGACACAAGCCTAAAGCCCATTGACACAGGCTCAAAGCCTATTGACCCAGGCCCAAAGCCCGCTGACACAAGCCTAAAGTGCAACGACATAGGCCAAAAGCCCATTGACACAGACCCTAACTCGGCCAACACATCCATGGTAATTCAAAGGTTGGACAAAATGGGTCTGGTTCTCCTCGTTTACAAAAAGAGCTGATGATTACCACACATTTATTGTGCAGCAATCTCCGTCAGAAGAGTTGGCCATTCTTCTTAAATAGTTGAATCATTTGTTTACATTATGAACAGTAATAATTTTAGAAAATTATGTGAATTAATTTTGAAGACAAACAAGAAATTAAACACTGCAAGGACTATCCTATAACCCTTCTATTTTGCTTTCTTACACACATGTGCAGTGAATACATTGCCTCCATTTCCATGAAGAAAAGGGAATGATCCTATATATGAACCCAGCCCAGCCCTGTCCAGCATATGCTCACCTTCCCCTACCTATCTGTTCACCTTCAGAAGCAAGGAGAGATAAAAGGGTTCTTCTGGATGGCGTGCAACATGTGACTCACTCCTCTTCCTCCCACATGACAATAAGGGTGCTCAGCGATTGGCCAGGAAGTCCCAAGCACCACCCCTGACTAGGAACGAGCTTACATAGGGCTTCTCCTAACTCGGGAAGGTAGGTATAGGAACCTGTTGCTTCCCCTTGCTGCCTTTATTGCCTGTACTATCCATTTTTATAGGCTATGGTGAGATCAATTGTATCACCAGTCAGAATCGGACAGCACACTGTCAGCCAGTGTTTCGAATGTTTTCACTCACAGGCCTTTATAAAACACACACAAGGTTTAAACGGGGACATTTTGTGCACACGGAGTACTGTTTCTGATTTACATACTATTGACAGAACACAATGCTTATTTTAAGTACTGTACCTCATTGTAAGATGATGCTACACAGGTGTGGCCTTCAAAGTGCAATTCTGCACTATGTACAACACATGTACCATGTCAAACTAGCGATCCTCACTGGTGACAACTCACCAGTAACAAGATTTCCAAGGGAACATTCCCCTGACCATACAGTGTCACAGTCACCAGCGAAGTGTCGCTCTGCTGATGCCTGCCCCCTGTGCTGCTCAATTAAACTTCTGACCTCCCTCTAGCCAAATATTTGCATGTGCAAATTATTTATGACCCTTTTATATCACTGTGAATGATACTCTGACACAATGCTTTGTTTTTAAAAGTTGATTGCTGCTGTATTGTAATTCATTTTCTTCCATTGATAGCATAGCCATTATTGTTCACTAGCCATTTCCCCATTTCTATAATACTATGTGCAAGATACTCCTGTGCCTATTATATTTCACAAAATAAATAAATACATTGTACAAAAATAAATCATAATGATGTCATTAGCAATATAGGTTTTGTAGAAACGGGGGAGCTGAACCCACCATTGATGTGTTGATGAGTCCTTTTACATAGATACTTCCTCACATATCACCAACCTAATGATGGTTATATGAATATTATACCAATCAAGCATTAGAAATAGAGAAAAGCTGACTTAGAATACTCTCTATGAGGCAATATTTCATTTGTAGGAGACAAACTTTTTATTGCTCAGATCTCCTCGCTGTCTCTGCTGCTGGGTGAAAGTGGACTGCTGACAGAACACAAAAAAGGTACACGTGTTGCCTGTTTGTTTTGGGGAACGTATTGTTTGGTACCCCGTTAATAAGGAACTGTTAGTGTCTCGGACGAGCAGATGTTTTGTTTGTTTTTTTTCTATAGACTTGCTGTACAAAAACTGGATTTGTTTACTGTCTTGCAGAGCAAAATTCCAGGACAAACTTGGATGTTTCTGGATCTTCCCATCTCCTGCGTGGTTTACCGCTACCAATACCAGTAGAGCCCATTCCCCTTACAATATTCACACAATTGTTTTGTGCAAAGATTCTTAATTCTTTTAACCCGAACAGCCCAATTTGTTTCTGTCCTGTGGCCCCTAATGTATTCAACATAAGAAATTATGGAGACCAGACTGGAGGCCTAGACAGGCATTTCTCAACCTTTATCCAGTCATGGCACTCTTTACAAGTATGCAAAATCTTCAGGCACCGAGTCTAAAATGTAATGGATTGTAAGGGGGGACCCCACGCAAAAAAAGTGGGGTTCCCCCTTCACATAGAAGCTCCCGCCTTCAAATCAGGAGCACCCCCTTCACATCAGAGCCCTCTGCCTTTCACATCAGATTCCCCCCTTTTAAAATCAAAGTCCCCCTTTACAGCAGTAGCCCTGTTTCACATCAGAGTCCTCCCTTCACATCAGAGTCCTCCCTATA